GATCAACTGTAGGAGGACCACAGGCCACACTGGTGACTAGTTCTTGTTGTCCACTTGCCTTATTTTGGTTTCCACAATTCATATCCTCTTTAAAGGGTAACCCACTTTTCCTAGACAAATAAATACAACATACAGTATATTGTTGCTACACAAGGTAAAAACACCTTTCTAGTTCATTCTAAAACCAGCCATCAAAAATAATTCAAGGCAACTGGACTTGCTGTATTTTTCGCTGGTCATCCGAATAGCTTTCTCAGTTCAGAATAACTTGTACAACAATTCTCTGGGAATGAATATGGTGCACATAGCTCCAATCAACATAATCTATTTATTATTACTAGAGCTGCAACAACTAAATCGACATAATCGATTATTGAACAAGTTGTCAACTTTTTCAATGATCGATTTAATCGGCTTCTGGTTAGTTGGACCTGTTCACGGCTCCACACACGCTGCGCGCCGCACCTCCTCACCACCTCACGCTCGCCGCTGCCAGACCCGCCCGCACCCACGCTCCACACGACGCACCTCCTCCCCGCTTCATGCTCACCGACCTCTCACATCCACGATCACAGGGACGCGGGGAGAAGAAGTGAAGACGTAAGGAGGAGCAGGTGTGGGGGGATGACAATCGCCGATAGATGGGCCCTATCTCAGAAGCAAGTTGCTGGAAGACTGCTCAGGTAAGCCTGCACTCTCCCCCTCGCATGGTGTTCTCTAATTTATTGCTGGGATTTGTTGTACTTCTCTATAGCTGGTGGTATTCTGCATTGCGCTGTATAGAGGACTACAAATCCCAGCAATAATACATTATACAGTGGAGCAATGCCGAATACCACTAGCTATAGAGGACTACAAAACCCAGCAATAGTACATTATACAGCGCAATGCAGAATACCGCCAGCTATAATGTACTATTGCTGGGATTTGCTGTATTCCTATATAGCATGCTATATAGTTTTACACTTTTAATTTCACTATATTGCACACCACACTTTTTTTTCTTCTTATTTACTATCACCGCTCCAAGCTTGCTCCTGTGATGGACTACAATCTCAATACAAACTAGTAGCTCATCACTGGAAATGTATTTTATTTTTTATCCGATTAATCGAACTCAATAATCGGCTAACTAATCGATTTTGAAAATAATCGTTAGCTGCAGCTCTAATTATAACCAGCATGGGATCAGAGACCTAATGGAGGTCTGTAGTTTTTTTAAGACATTTCACATATCATCCGACTAGCTTTCTCAATTCTGCATTGAAAAAAAGCTAATCGGATGACCAGTGAAATGTCTTTAAAAAAATACCGACCTCCATTAGGTCTCTGACCCCATGCTGGTTATAATAAATAGTTTTATGTTGATTGGAGCAACATTCACCATATTTAGAGAATTGTTGTACAAGTTATTCTGAACTGAGAAAGCTAGTCGGATGACCAGCGAAAAATACAGCATGTCCAGTTGTCTTGAATTATTTTTTACAGATACACCGTGACCTGGATGAATGAGAATCTTCACAGACATGTTCCCTGCAGGTTGTCTCTTATGACAACAATAGGGCTGATAATGTTATCCTAACAGGAAGACCCTCTCAGTCAGGGCTGAGGCAATAGGTAGGCAGGAGAGGTGGCCTCCCTGGGTGCTTAAGCTGGAAGGGAGTACAAAAAGGACAAAACCCTCAACCTGTGCTGCTGAGGTAGTTCACAACTCATGGGGGGGGGGGGGGGGGGGGGCGTTGGGTGATCGGGGTGGGGCGCCGGGGCCCCCTTTGGCCCATTTGCCTTCGGTGTTAAAGGACCTAGAAATTAGAATCCACCTGGGACTTCCAATACAAATGGCAGCAGTAGAGATGAGCAAACTTCTGGAAAGTTCAACCAAAAGTTTTGGAAAATCTCGGCCAAACTTCCAAATTTCTGAATTTCCAAGATTGGAAATCCCATTGAAGTCAATCATGCTCCAAAAACTTGTGTATTACAGAGCAGCAAATGGTGCCTAATGTTAGAGAATGGTTTGTGAAGCCCCAGGTGACTCTCCCCGATGAGATGATGGGGCAGAAAAACAGCCTAAGCCACTTCCTTTAAAAATTCTACCAGGAATACTACGATCAGGGCTAGAATTCCCACAAGGCCAACCAAGGCCCGGCCTCGGGGCAGCAGGGGTGTGGAATTCCTATCTCCCGATGCCGGGACATGCAGTTCCGGGCGCCAGGCGGGTAGTGGTTTTCTACATCTAGCCCTGCTTTGGGCAAGCACAGCTAAATGTACAGCGAGGAAGCTGCTGCTTGTTTTGTATAAGTGATCCCGGTGATGTCGCTGAGATCACTTGTATGCAGCCTGCAGTTCTGCCATTCTCCATTGAGGGGTTTGGCGGGTAGGGGGGGCATTGAGAAACCTGGCCCTGGGCCAGCACAAAGAGTAAATCCGGCCCTGACTAAGATAGAATAGGGGGTGGGACCTGGTGGACCTGGCCGTCAAACTAAGGATGTTCAGGCAACAGTAGAAGCAGATAGAAGACATTTGGACATTTGGAGAAGCATTTGTTCCATTTCTTCCAGAAGCCTTTTGGGAACCCAAATCTGGATGCAGCTCAGGATATCCAAATTAATCAAATCTGTCCAAATATACGATCGTCCAAATTTCGAGATCAACTCTAGGCAGCAGTTAGAACTCTAAAACAATGTTTAATATAATCAATGTATGTGAACAATTTTTCTTTCTGGAGTATAATTATCATGGGGGTACTTCATGTACAAAGCCTTTGGAAACCCCAATCTGAATGACATTTAGTTGACATCCTCTTACTATACCCACTTCCTGTCTACATGCAATGCAGTAATGGCTGCATGGCATTTCTCATAGCGGGGTTCCCTATGTGGGCAATGACTATATGATGAACCACAGTCCTAGAGAAGGGCACTGCACCCCAGAAATTGGACAAGTAGACCAAAAACCCAATAATGTGTTAAAACAGCCACTTGTAGTCTCCATTAGAATCCTGTGTAACAGGGTGACAATGCAGGAACACAATCAATAGACAGGGATAGAGTGTTGTCACCGTATAACAGGAAGTAGCCGGACAAGGACCATCATGTCAGGATCATCAAGTATTAGTTTAATAAAATCCCTTATCCCTCGCTCCCCCAGACTCCTCCTCTCCGTGTGACCCCCCCTTTCCCCTCGCTCCCCCAGATTCCTCCTCTCCATGTGACCACCCCCCTTTCCCCCCGCTCCCCCAGATTCCTCCTCTCCATGTGACCACCCCCATTTCCCATCGCTCCCCCAGATTCCTCCTCTCCATGTTACCACCCTCCTTTCCCATCGCTCCCCCAGATTCCTCCTCTCCATGTGACCACCCCCCTTTCCCCAAAGCCAAATCTCTTCGGCACTTTGCCTGTCTGTCGCATTCTGATCAGGACCTGCATTGTAAGTGAGCCCAACAAGGGCCTGCCCACCACCCAGAGCATTCAAGGGAAGAGGAGCGAGGGATAAGGTAAGCAAAAACTTTTTAAACTTTATCCCCTAAACAAATTCAAGCATTTAACTCTTGCGGTGTGGGGGGGGCGCCCCTCTGCAAGGGAAGTTTATACATTTTGACGGAGTTCAGCTTTAAGATACACTATATTACCAAACGTATTGGGACACCCCTCCAAATCATTGGATTTAAGTCCATCCGTGACATTTCCTGGCTACTAAATATTCCGCGGTCACCTGTTACTGGGATTATAACAAAGTGGAAGCAACTGGGAACAACAGCAACTCAGCCAGGAAGTGGTAGGCCACGTAACATGAGAGAGCGGGGTCAGCGCATGCTGAAGCGCGCAGAAGTCACCAACTGTCTGCAGAGTCAATAGCTACAGACCTCCAAACTCTGTGTGGCCTTCAGATTGTAGAGTGTAGAGAGCTTCATGGAATGGGTTTCCATGGCCGAGCAGCTGCATCCAAGCCGCACATCACCAAGTGCAATGCAAAGCGTGGGATGCCGTGGTGTAAAGCACGCCGCCACTGGACTCTAGAGAGGTGGAGACATGTTCTCTGGAGTGACCAATCACGCTTCTCTGTCTGGCAATCCGATGGGCGTGTCTGGGTTAGGCGGTTGCCAGGAGAACGGTACTTGCCTGACTGCATTGTGCCAAGTGTAAAGTTTGGTGGAGGGGGGATCATAGGGGGGGTTTGATTTTCGGGGGTTGGGCTTGGCCCCTTAGTTCCAGTGAAGGGAACTCTTAAGGCATCAGCACACCAAGACATTTTGGACAATTTCATGTTCCCAACTTTGTGGGAACAGTTTTGGGATCTCCCGTTCCTGTTCCAACATGACTGCGCACCAGTGCACAAAGCAAGGTCCATAAAGACATGGATGGGGGAGTTTGGGGTGGAGGAACTTGACTGGCCTGCACAGAGTCCTGACCTCAACCCCGTAGAATACCTTTGGGATGAATTAGAGCGGAGACTGCGAGCCCGGCCTTCTCCTCCAACATCAGTACCCTGACCTCACAAATGGTCCAACATTCCCATAGACACACTCCTAAACCTTGTGGACGCCTTACCAGAAGAGTTGAAGCTGTTATAGTGGAAAAGGGCGGAGCCAACTCAATATTGAACCCTACAGACTAAGACTGGGATGGCATTAGAGTTCATGTGTGTGTAAAGGCGTCCCAATACTTGTGGTAATATAGTGTAACTCTATGTTTGAGATCAGTTTGTACTTTTTCTCTTATTCCTCCATAGCAGTCAGTGTGAATGGATGGTGAGTTAAGAAAGGTAAACACACATAAAAGCCCGTGCCCTGGACAAGGCTCAAGCAAATGTACCCACTACGCCAAGCTGAAGATCCGGGGTCCCCACACGTTATTCCTTTGCTTTTTTTTGGAAGGTAAACAGAAGTTTCTGGGAACACAGGAATATGTTAAAGGGTCTTCCAATTCCAATGGCTGCATCACAGGTGCAACATGATAATGTCATTGCTCTATGCGGCGGTGTTATCTTGGCACCATGCAATACAAGGTACAGCATGTTCTTGGGCTAAATAGAAGTTATAACTAAACCTACAAAACAGACAAACAAAGTTATAGTCCATATGTCAAATCTGAAGATATTTGCCCAACTCGTACAAACATCTGAAAAGGGGACAAAGACGAATCATTGATCATGTCAGGAGGCAAAGTAGGAGCTCTGCATGGAGTACAGGCGGTCAATGGGTCCAATGCGGGCCTGTAGGCTGTTGTTCTCTGAAGATGTCAGCAAAGATCCTGCGAGATAACTCAAACCATCGTTGTCCATGTCGTGGAAAACGCTGTCTGTGTCTGTTGGAATAAAGCAGATCATTTGGTAAGGAGACTGGTGAACGTACTGGTGGTTTTTGGAGAACTTCTCCCTTCCTCCTACCTCAACTGGCATGAGGCCTTCCCTAGAAGTGGTCACATGATCTTTTGCCAAGGGTTTCTTCACCCTCTCTTTTTAGTGCCTCTGCACATACAACTATGACATCTTCTCAAGAGACTGCACCCATCTGCTTTAATTAACTGCATGTCAAAGATCCGGCTCTGGATGTGGAACGGGTCTTATAGCTTTTCTAAAATAAGTGGACTGGGGCATTCAGAGGGTGGGCCTGGGGTAGTCGTGTTACTTATGGAGAGAGAGAGAGAGAGATGGAAAGAGAGAGAGAGAGAGAGAGAGATGGAAAGAGAGAGAGAGAGAGAGATGGAAAGAGAGAGAGAGAGAGAGAGAGAGCGCTGACGGCCACGCACAGGATGTGACAATATTTCCTTGGTGGATGGGACTATATAATACAGTCTGACTCACAGACCATTGCTGAATGGTCTTTCAGCTTGTCCCTGTGATCCTGTAACTCTGCCCGTCTGCTTGCTCTTGTGTATTGACCCGGATTGCCTTCGACCTTGTCTGATTGCTGCCTGCCCCTGACTTCTGCCTGTTCCTGGATTCTGCCTCTGTCTTCTGCTTCTGTACTTCGCTGCCCACTCGGTGTGACCTTGGACTTGTCTGACCTGCTCCTGGATCCTGCACCTAGACAATCACCAGACACAGTGTCTGCACACCACCTGGCACTCGTGCAACTCTTTTGTCCTCTCACTCCCTGTCTCCACGCTCAGGGGTGCGGGACAAGAGGTGCAAGGGAGGCCTCCTCAGCTATTCGGTCTTCTACCAGGTACATGATAGATAAATAGATAGATAGGGTTTGGATACAAATAAGGTTTAGGGTTTGGATACAAATAAGGTTTAGCAGAGTTATTTTCACATATAATTAAGGAACTGGTTACAGAAAGAACATGCTGTCATGTGTTAACATTATCTGTGTGTCACTACTGTCTGTAGGGTCCAATAAAACAACTGCCACTTGACTCACCATATGGATGAAGATGGTCACCGGGCATTTGTGGAGGTGTGAGGCCCTGTCTGTACAGGTCTGTATTGTAGACACTTTGATCCAATGAAAGAAGAGACTGTTGCGCCATTCTGGAGTATGGCAAAATAACTCCTTCTATACCACTGCCACCATCTAAGGAATGAAGCAGAGAACAGGAAATCAACGGTGAAATTCAAGTTGGGTTGCAGTTCAAGTTGACCCGACCGACAGCAGATTGGGTGGGTGGCCCATGTAGCTTCCGAGCTCAGACTCAGACTGGGTTCAAACCCATCCCTATTCACCGACCCCTATTAATGGTTGATTCCACCCGCACAGCCGCATTAAATTAAAATCAAAATGTGTATAAGGTAATTGGGGAGGTTGGCGAGCATTTTGAGGGTGGGGTGTTGGGGAATGCGACCATGATTCATGTTTCATATTAAAGTACCATTCATTTTTTTTTTCTCTTATTCCAAAAAAAGGAGGACCCTTATATTTGTCCATATGCCTCCAGAATCATAGCGCTCTGACGTTTCCCACCTTCGCTGTCCTCATTGCTCTGTCTGCTGTTCCTTCGGTTCCTGCAGGCCGATCCCAGGCGTTGTGTTGCCAGTTGGTCGTGATCTTGTTGTTGCTGCCTCCTTGCTATCTTCTTCATCTGGAAAGGATGGGAATGTTAGTGGTGCACGATGAGTGTATAGACATGAGCAGAGACATCAGAAGGGCTATAAAACTGATCTTTGTCATATGTAGTCAAGTAGAATTAAAGCGTATCTACAGTCAAAACTGTTTAAAATGTAGTTTGGATATAGTAAAGAATGGTTAAAACTAGGGATGCACCAATACCAGTATTTCGGTATCGAGTAAGAGTACTGATACTTTGTTTATGGTACCCGCCGATACCGAGTACCGGTGCCCTGATTATCAGAAAGTCGGGCGGCGGATCATGACCCATCGCCTGGCTTTCTGATTGCTTGCGAAGCCGGTGTTCTAGCGAAAGAACACTGGCTTCAGATGCTGCCTGGCTTCCTGACCAATCAGGAAGCCGAGCGGCGAGTCATGAGATGCTGTCCGGCTTCCTGATTGGCTAGGAAGCAAATGAAGCCAGCTTCCTAGCCAATCAGGAAGCCAAGCGGCACATCATAACCCGCCTCCCGGCTTCCTGATTGGCTAGGAAGCTGGCTTCACTTGTTCCTAGGCACACTGGCTTCCTGACCCGTCAGGAAGCAGTCATGAGGTGCCATACGTCTTCCAGATTGGTCAGGAAGCCAGGCTGCCTACCGACAAGTGAAGGTGGCCAATAGGAAGCCGGGTCATTACGTGCCACCCGGCTTCCTGATTGGTTAAGAAGCCAGGTTGGTTAGACACACGTGAAGCCGGCTTCCTAGCCAATCAAGAAGCCGGGAGACGAGTCATAACCCACCACCTGGCTTCCTGATTGGAAAGGAAGCCAGCTCCATCGGCACTGCTGGCCAGAGGGAGATCCGGTATCGGAGAGTACGAGTTCTCGCCCAAATACTCGGTATCGGCACCAATACTAGTATGTATTGCTGCATCACTAGTTAAAACCTTTGTTAGTGTACCGCTTTTCCTGAGCATTATACAGTATTAAAGAACACATCCCAGGCTTCAATTTAAACATGCATCTCTTCTGGCTACTGAGTGCTGCAGACTTTAGCTGTGCAATCTGCAGGTCAGTTGCTTAATTACAAGGCATGTTAGAGGGTCATCAAGCAACCGATCGGCAGATTGCACAGCTAAAGTCTGCAGGACCTAGTGGCCATGAGGGATGCACGGTGTGTTCTTTCATACAACACTCAAGTAGGGGACTGTCACATTTACGGAGCCTGCCGTTCCCCTCCCCCCAACAAACTCAATATTATCACAAAGCAACGGCCAGAAGACAGACCTAGGGATGACATCACTGGGTCTCAAAAGAGGTATTTCATTGATTTGGATTGGTTGATCAGAAGAGGGTGGGTGGGAACAAGGAATGGTAATATACTGTATGCTTACATTACACTTTAGAGTGTAAGCTTCTGGGGGCAATCTATGCGCTTGTACTAATAGCATAGGAGAGTTTGTATAGTACACCTGAGGCTGTACCCGTGGCTGTACCTTGGCTCTCTGGTTCTGGAACCAAACCTGAACAACGCGAACGGTCAGCCCCGTCTCTGCTGCCAGCGTCTCCCTCACCTGCAGAGAAATGTTTATATATTGATACATATCAGACACAGCATTTTATACAAAAGTTATGAGCATGTGGTCAATATGTTTCCTGCCCCCTAATTACTAAGGAGAGACAGTTTTATGATGTCATAAATGGTTGGCCAATAAAAAAGCTGATTTACATTGATAGGGTAAAAGTAGAGACAGTGGAAATATGCCTGAGAGAAAGTAAAACTGAACTTCAGCTAGTTACCCTTGCAGTGGGGCACCGGGCACCCCCCCCCCCTCCAGGCACTTCAAGGGTTCAATAAAATAAACAGCAGTATTACTCACCTTATCCCTCGCTCCAACATTCCAGGGTGTGAGCGGACACTCGGTGCCCTCACTTACAATGCAGCAGTGATGTGCCGTGCCTTCTGTGCTGGGTGAGGCATCCCCCAGCCCGCCGAAGCTCCACCTCGTCCCACCAAAGCTCTGCTCCATCCTGCTGAAGCTCCACCCCAGCTCAGTAACCAAGCTATATGGGGAGGAGACAGGGAGGAGCCTCCCTGTTTCTCACTTGCTCGTCACCGGTGAGGCATGGAGATCGATGTCCTCAGTGGGTTTTTTTTTTGATTGGACAACTTGGACCAATGGTGCTTTGCCATTGGTCCAAGCCATCCACAGAGCTCACGCCTCTAACACAGAGTAGAGGCTGTGACATCTCTTGCTTCACCAAGTTAGGTTACACAAACAGTGGGGAAGCCCGCTGCTGTGTAACCTAACTAGCTGTCAAAAGCCGGATGCAGCGCTGCCTAGAATTAAGAAGCAGCGCTCCGTCCATGACAGGTGACAGGTGACATAGCTCGCGGTATACTGAGACGCCGCAGCTGAAGCAGATCCCGACAATTATGTCTGGATCCGCCCAGCTGCGTGAGTGACAGCTGGCTCTGCCTATCTAGAGGCAGAGCCAGCTGTACCCGCCCCTCCCCCGTCCGTTCCGCCAGTCAGCGCTGGCGAATCGGAGCGGGGAGCGTGGAATCCAGCCCCCCCTGTAACGGCAGAGAGCCGTGACAGGATCGAGAGGTGAGCGAACGCCGGTATGTGTTCCCTCACTTCCCGATCTACTGAGCCGACCTGTGACAGTCGCATTGTCACAGGTCGGCTGGAACTATGAGGTGAGTGAACAGCACCCCCCCTTATAGTTCTCCTTTAAGAAGGGAAAAAGCGCCTTTGATCTAGCTCTGTGGGTCTACCTCCCAGGTGAACACTCGCTTGATGTCATCACTCGCTGGGTGGAGGTGAAGGTCTGCCTGCATTGTGTGATTAGCCTTACCTGAGAGTTATATGCAGATTGGCTGCAAATCATCTGAGGAATTTTTTTTTGCATAATCACCATTGTTAGCTTTTGTTTTTTCCTTGGGACTTTTTTGTCTTTGTGTAGATATTTTCTATGCCTCATTTGTTTGAAGGCTCATATATGTGACTCACTTATATATGTTTCAATGTATTAGACATGTATGATTATTAGCTCGGCACAATATTGTTTTTCACATTTTCCAGATATTTAGTTATATCCAGGGGCATAACTAGAAACACACGGTATCCTTAGTGCTTGGAAGCTCTTGTTTCCACATTACACTTACTGGCGCTGATCCCCTTTATTGCTTATAAGCATTGTCTGGTGTGGTCACACATTTGGTCCTCTCGTAGAGATACCTGTGCGCGGTGTGGGGACACCCGTGCACGGTATCACTGACAGACTGTCCCTCCAAAATAGGGATGGTTGGGAGCTCAGCTAATTATAAAACCGTGGCAGACAGAACGGAAGGTAATATAATTGAATTTTTCGCATCTCAATGACAGCAGATTTCTGCCAAGATTGCCACATCTACCTTTCTGCATGGCTTAGAAGACACTTCAAATGACGCCTTGAATGCCCTTCTCTGCTGTGTGGTCAGTATGGTCCTTGGTCTTTTAGAGCGTTTGACATCTTTTGCATCGTCGCTTCCTTTACCATGGGTGTGACACCCATCCTCATCCTCACTTTTAACTGAAAGAATAGAAAAAGATCACAAATGAAACATTTCTGGGCTAGTCGTGTCTTCCTTTCCCTGTTACAAGCATGCAGATAGCAGTAATGGGCGCTGACCTACAATGACCAATCGGATGTAAGAAGTGTTTTGTTGCTATTGCGATAGATTACAACGCACCACTGCGCTCTCTACCTTATGTCAGTGTCCTCTCTGAGCTGATTTTTGCCAATTATTCTACCCAAAAATAAATAAATATGTGTTTGCCCGCGGAGTCTAAATCTATCTGGACAGACTTCTATGGTGCGATAAATAGAGATAAGGGAATCTTGGTAAATACTTGTAATCTGCCAGATATAAATTGGAGGAAGAAAACAGGTTTACAGGACCCATTACACGTTCTATTCCACAGCGCCGAGCAAACAGCGTGACATTGTGTTCAGGAAGCACTATTAGGTCAGTGAGATCACCCCCATATATATATATATATTATTATTTCAAAGGGGATCCCTTCTAGATCTCACTCAAAGGAGGTCATCGGTGAGATGTATTGAGCTCCTTCCCTCAGATCTAACAACTGTTACTCCATACATAGGATAGTGATTGATTCACGACCCGTGAATGGCTGGTTCACTGCTTTATAAATATGCCCCTTGGGTGCAGTCTATCATGAATGCTGCTGGCTGACTTATCCACCTTAACAACCTCTCAGTGTCGACTGCTCCTCTCTGCCAATCTTTCCACTGACTTCCATTCCCCCACCCCTCTCTGCCATCCCTCCACTGGTTTCCACCCCCTGCCCCCTCTCTGCCAATCCCTCCACTGGCTTACATCCCCCACCCCTCTCTGCCAATCCTTCCATCCCCTTCCCTTCTCTGACAATCCCTTTACTGGCTTCCATCCACTGCCCCTCTCTGCCAATCCTTCCTTTGCTTTCCATCCCCCGCCCCTCTCGGCCAATCCCTTTACAGCTTCCATCCCCCGCCCCTCTCTGCCAATCCCTCCACTGGTTTTCATCCTCTGCCCCTCTCTGACAATCCCTCCACTGGTTTCCATTCCCTACCCCTTTCTGCCAATCCCTCCACTGGTTTTCATCCTCTGCCCCTCTCTGCCAATCTCTCCACT